CGGCCGCCACGGCGCCCCCGGACACGAGGACCGCGCCGCCGTAGTGGTTCGCGGCGGTGCCTTCGAAGACCGTGTCCTCGAGCTCGAGCGACCGCGCCGCCGGACCGTACCCGCCGGACCCGCCGCCTTCGAACGCGACGGCACCACCCCCTTCCCCCGCGCTCGTCGATCGGAAGAGCGAGCGCGAGACGCTGCAGTTCGACTTCGCGCAGCAGAGGGCGCCGCCAGTGAACGAGCTTTGCGTCCCTACGAACGTGCTGGCGACGATCGTCGCCTCGCCCCCCCAAATTGCAATTGCGCCGCCTCCTACCCCGGCGGAGGTCCGCGCAAAAGAAACGTTCCGCAGCGTCACCTCGCTAAGATACGCGTAGATGGCGCCGCCGGAGTGGTTCGCCGCGCAGCGTTCGAACGACGCGTCGGACACGGCGAGCGAGCCCGTGGGCTTGACGTCGACGCAGCCCCCGCACGCGCCGAATATGGCGATCGTGCCGCAGCCCTCCGCGCCCCCCGTCCCCATGGCGTTGCCGTCCGCGAGCCGCAGCCCCGACAGCGCGAGCTGCCCGAAGGTCACGAAGAGGCCGTGGTCGCCGGCGCCGGAGATCGCGTGCGGGCCGACCAGCGACACGGACGCGTTGAAGGGGATGTGGACCGGCGCCGCGAGCGCGATGTCCGCCGTCACGGCCACGACGCTCGTCCGCCCCACGCAGGCGGGGCGCTTATCAAAGGAACAAAAGCAGGCGTCCGAACCGGCGCGCTTCACCGCCGCGGCGAGCGCCGCGGCGTCGCCCACGCTGGCGTCGCAGGCATCCGACGCGACGGCGACGGCGACGACGAGGACGGCCAACAACGAGCGTCTTACAGGGGCCGGAAGGCCCCCGAGAAGCTGCCCATGCTCTCCCGACATGGCTCCCGGTGGGTGCAAGACCACGACAAGGTCGGCGCCGCTCGTGACAAAGTCCGCTCCGCTCGTGCGCCTGGCGGATGTGACACGAGAGCGAGCGTGCGATGCCGTCACTCAGCTCCCCGTCGAAATCGCCCAAGGTCGCCCCCGACGCCATGCCCCGGTCGGCCGACGACGCGGGCGCGTCCTCGGCCTGCCCCGTGGCGGGCGCCGACGGCATGCTCATGCGCGCGGCCAGGGACCGGTGCCCGGCCTTCGCCGGCGGGTGCCCCTTCAGCGCCGCGACGACGTCGACGGCCCTCAAGGAGACGCTGGAGACCATGCCCCTGAGCCACACGGACCCGGCGAGCGACACGGCGGGCCTCATCGAGGTCGTCGTGCGCCGGACGCGCGGCCGGTCCGACTCCGGCGAGAACGTGTTCTTCGCGTCCGACGGCGAGGAGACGGAGGCCCTCGTGGGCGAGTTCGTCGGCTGGTGGGCCGCGGCGCTCGCCGGGAAGGCGCCGGAGACGCCGGGCGCGCCCTGCGTCGGCCTCGCGGACCGGCTCAAGAGCGGGACGGAGGCGGCGCACGCGGAGGCGGAGAACGTCGCGTTCGTGCAGCTCCTGCTGGGCGGCAAGGCCCCGTTGGAGGGCTACGTCTGCCTCGTCGCCGCCCTGCGGCGCATCTACGGCGCGCTGGAGGCCGCGGCCGACGCGCGGTCGGACGCGGGCCCCGTGCGGGCCGTGTCCGAGGGCCGCGCGGACGCGCTGCGGCGCGCCGCGGCGCTCGACGCGGACCTGGCCTACTACCGGCGGCGGGACGCGGCGCTCGTCGGCCGCGCCGAGGCCTTCGCCCTGCGGTCCCCGGCGACGAATAGCTACGTCGCGCACCTCGACGTGCTCGGCGACGGTTCGAAGACGACGGCCGCGGGCGCCGAGGCGCTCGTCGCGCACCTCTACACGCGCTACCTCGGCGACCTGAGCGGCGGCCAGATCCTGCGGCGCGCCGTCGTCCGCGCCTACGGCCTCGCGCCCGCGTCCGGCACGACGCTCGACGCGGGCGAGGGCGTCGCGTTCTACGACTTTCCGCGGATCGGGAAACCCACCAAGCTCCGGCGCTTCAAGGACGCCTACCGCACGGTCTTAGACGACCTGGACGTCGCCGACCCGGACGCCGTCGTCGCCGAGGCCGTCGACGCCTTCCGGCGCAACACGGCGCTCCTCAAGGAGCTCGACGTCGCGCTGCTGGGCGCCGACGCGGCCGAGAAGGCGCACGCGCGCGCGC